TTTTTTTTGTACAAGTTGCGAGTTCTGCTCTCTTAAAGGAAAGCGGTTTGCTGCCTTCGCTTGAGGAGCCAGTGATTGGCTGCCCCTCGGGAAAAGGCACCACCACTGTCCCTGCAGGGCTTTATTAATGCTGGCATTAAAGAGTTATATTCTCAACTCTTAAGAGTAAACACATAAACATAATATAAACGTATGATTGCACCTGTCTTTCCCAAAATACTTTTGCCCCCAAATGCCACATAGAGCATTTTACTTCCTATACTTTCACAAAGTATAGGAAGTAAACCCTCCTATTCCTTGTGTTTGGGAAATAGCTTCATTTGAGAAAGAACTTCAGAGGAATTTTAAGTCATTACATTCAAACTATAATTTAAAAGTGTATGGTTTTTTGGGGGGTTTTGTTTGGTTTTCTGTTTGTTTGCTTGAGTTTGCTTTGCTTTTTTTGTGAAACGGTCTGAGTTACTGTATATGCTAACATTATTTCTCAAGTGTGAGAAATATGACTGCGTATTAGCAAACTCATGACATTAGTGAGGGTAAAAGCTGCATTAAAGGACCACATCAATGGCCCCATCACTGCTGCTTCTGCAGTGTTCATGCTGTATGCACTGCCTATGTTTTGGCAGAAATTACAATGACAGTATGAACCTGCATGCGTTATGACTGTGATATATATCAAAAGCAGACTCAGCATTTGCATATTTAGTCTAGTGGTCCAAATTTTGTATTCCTACTTCATTTGAGCTATCTACCAGCTCCGGTGTACCAACGGGATTATTCATCCTAAGTGATACTGCTGTCTGTGGGTTAGACACAAGGTATAATGTTACTGAGTGTTCCCTCTTCTGCGTTGCAGAAACTACAGACTTTTCTGCAAATTGCTATGTAGAACTGTTTGGTGTCAAGAATAACTGTGGGATAGAGACAAAACATGAATTAAGCTCCCTTAGCTTCTGAATTTTTGTTGATTATTTAAATCCATTACCTTGTCCGCTGAAGGATATTCTTATTCATCTACACAAGTAAAGAGTAAAATGTGTTCTGGTTTTATGCTACCAAAGCCAAACTGTGTTAGGTTTTGCAAAAATGTATTTCAGCTCAGCCGAAACAACTAAAAAAAAAAAAAAAACTTAGAAGGCAAGTTTTTGTTATATCCTTTCAAAAGTAGCAAATCAGCATGATTGAGACAAAAAGGCCCATTTCTAAATTGCTATATTGGGTAGAAAGTTTCAAGTGAAGTTAACAAGCTATTATGCAGCTGGCCTTCCACTTCTCCATGTCAACTTTTATTTGAACAAAAATGCGTGAAGAAACTGTATTAAAGATTATGTGAATCATAACCTGCCTTCCAGCTCTCCTAAATCAACCTATAAATTCTACATTCTGTTTCCAGAGTTTAATACAACCACAGAGTCACTGTCCAGAAGCTCGATTTCTTTGCTATATAGTTCCTTGAGTTAATATTGACCTTCTAACTAAATTAATATGAGTATTAAAATGTTCCATGTGCTGCATCCCATCTCTAAAGAATATCCCATGAGATGGTCCTTGACTCTGCAGCTAGACAAAATTTCATGCTTAAAAATAGGACAAATATCACATAAAATCTTGGCAAGGACTTTCAATGTAGTGATGTTCTTTAGGATTAGCTCTAAGATCCCCAGGGCTTTGAATAAGAAAGAATTATTATTCTGGTAATGTAATGCAAATTCAGTAAAAAGGCCAATTCCATTGTGGGTAAATATTTGTTTTCTAAAATAGCTTATAGTCATAAAAAATGAACATCTAACAGACAAAGGTCATAGAATTTTCCTTTTTTTTTTTTTTTTTTTTTTTTGTTTATTTTTTTTTTATTTTTTTTTTTTTTTTTTTTTTTTTTTTTTGGACTGTATTGCATGCAAATATACACATGGATATAATGTACTTTTATAATTTTGAAAAAGCCAATCTTAGAATAAAATGGTATGCCAAAACATGTACATATGTTTCTGTTTGGACAGATAGAATTACAGAAGTCTATACAGTATGTATCTGGAATATCAAGATAATCATCTATTTATCCAAAGATGGCTCTATGGTATCTGGCACTGGTAAAGTGCATAAAATAACATAGCTTGACTCACAGAGAATATTGCAACCTCCTCTTTTCTTCTGCATCGTATCTTTCTCCTGCATCCGTGAAATATTTCTGCTCACATAATCATATCTCTGTATGCCAGCATCTCGTTTGCCATTTCTCTTCCTTACAGCATCCAGATTTTTCACTAACTTCTGAGCTCCTCTTTCTGGAACTCATACAAGTCTCTCTGTTTCTTACAAGCCTATTTTCCTATTGTAATTTTTAAATTTCCCCCACTCTGTTTTGTTTTTCTTCTCATATCTTTCTTTTGAAATTTCCCCCAAACACCAAAAAGCTTATTCATTTTATTTGCCTTTGAAATGCAACATTATGACCACTTGATTTTATAGAGAATCTTTTCCAATTGATCTTCATATATTCTATTTAGAAAGACTGCAAATTCCCCAGAAGAATTGTATCTTCTTACAAAATAATCCTTACAGATAAAACATCTGCAAAGTTTAGTTGTTCAAAACTTGAATTAGTTGATCTGGGTATTGCCTGCCTTCATTTACAAATAAAGGACCTTCTAGTGAAGTCCTTTTTCTAGCAGACGGAAACTAAATTATTCCTCTTTAAATTATTTACACTGTGACATTTTGTCTATAAAGAAGAAACACTTTTAAATTCACACTAACCATAGTCCTGGTATTATTGCAATCAGCTTATAAATTGTAAACCAATTTTAAATGGCTTACAATTAATAAGCAGATTGCTTTTATATAACTTTATTTATTATAAATAAATAAATATATATCACTTTTATTATAACTTTAAAAAGGACAGTTATAAGCACTTTCTCCTGCTCTGGTACAAAATCCACTTTACAGGACAATTGTTTTCAGTGTATCACAGTTGTTCACTATATATTATTTAATAACAACAAAATAATAATTTGGTTGCAAAGCACAAAAATAGAAGTATGAAAAATCTATGGAACACATACTGGCTGACTGAGAATATTTGTTTTATTCCCTCCCAGTAAATTCCTCATTCAAAGACATCAACCAAATTAGAAATTAGCTATTCACTTACTTCTTCACCTCACCCTTCACTAGCTCAGCTCCATCAAGCTCACATTTACTATCCAAGTAACAGTGATACTGCAACTATATTTCAGGAGACTGGAAATAAGGATAAAAATTTTAAACGTTTATGTTCATATTTTTTCTGCTTAGTTTTCTTGGTCCCCTCATCTGCATCATGGCCTTGGTTAACCCTCCTTCCAGTGCCACCTGCTGCAGTTGTATTGGTATTACAGGTTTCTCTTTACAGCATCTAGTCGTATAATGCAGCTGGAGAATGTGTCTTTTTAATGCAATAGAATTCTTTCATGATCACGTAAAATCTTCCCAGTACTATTCCCAGCCCTGCAGAAAAACACTGCTGTAATTGTCTGCAGAGACTGCAGAGAGCAGAAATGCTCAAAGACAAATATAAATCAAAAATAAATGAACAGAAACACATAATGCTAGGTACACTAATAGTGATATTTGCAATGTTTTTAAGCCATTTTTAAAGAAAAAATAATTATCATATCCACCTTAAATTGTTACATGTATTTTTTAAATCATATATCTCTATATAGTAGGTATGACATAGAGTAAAAATTGATTTTCAGAAATAAGAGTAGCGTTAACTACTAGTCTTAACAATGTTTTGGGTTTCTTGTTTTGGTTTGTTATTTTCCACTAGGGTCAGGATAGCACAGTTTGTCTTAGTGCAAAGCTGCAAATTTTCTTTCAGGCTGTATTTGTTAAAAGGGGAGGGGACAGAAGCCATCTGTGTATGGCTCATTTTACTGCTTATTGCAACTACACTTATTGCACCTACACTAATGACTACATTTAGGATTTAAAACATTTTTTTTTCTCAGACAATACACAGAACACAAACCAGAGCAGACATGGCTCCATGCACCTACAGAAGAATTCATGTCTTTAGCACTGTTGTGAATCTATATTCGAATGTTGCAACAAGACACATGGCTACACAGAGAGTTCTTTGGCTGCTACTCTCAGACCATTCAGGTTTTTCACCTGAAAGGGTGCTGTGAAAATCCTGGGGACAGCTTTCTTTCTGGGTTTGTGAAAATGTTTCTTGGTAGCCCTTCTCATTTCATAGCCAAGAATTTTATTTTTTCCATCATAAAGACTCTTTGTATTGTGCCTCCCAACAGAGAAAATAAATACAGGGTCTGGAAAATGAATTTATACACAGAATCATAGAATCTTTAAGGTACAAAAAGGCCTCTAAGATGTTCATGTCCAACCTTTACCTCAGTACTGACATCTATGCTATTAAATCATGTTCACAACTGCCACATCTACATGGCCCCTAAATTCTTTCAGGTATGGTCACTCCATGATTTCCTACAAAGTCAATTACACTGACTACTCTTTCAGTCAATAAATTATTCTTAATATCCAGTCTAAATCCCCCTTACACAATTTGAGGCCATTTCCTTCTTTCCTGTCTCTGACTGTCTGGGAAAGGAGCTGACGCCTACCTGGCTGCGCCTTCCTTTCAGCAGGTTGTAGAGAGTGGTAAGGTCTCACCTGAGTGAGACTAAACACCCCCAGCTCCCTCAGCGGCTTTTCACAGGATGCTCCAGACCCTTCATCAGCTCCACTGCCTTTCCCTGAACATGCTCCAGCATGTCAATGTCCTTTTCGCAGTGAGGGGGCCCAGAACTGAGCACACAATTC